TCTAATATTTTTGGTATGCAAATCAAATTAGCATTTAATTAGTTCCTAAAATATTGGTATGAAATATTAATTTAAGAATATCCATGTATTTGTTAAAATGTTGGTATGCAATACGTAAAAGAAGATTTTTTAATTTTTTTAAATGTAAATTATTGCAACACGTAAAACTATTTCAGTTATTTTTTATTTTATTTTACATATAAAATCTAATCAATATTTAATCATCCTACAAAATTTTAGTTTAATTCTCCATACAATTGGTTATAACTTTTTCAGTTGTACTTTTTTTTATTTATTTATTTTACACTTTTAAATTAATTAAGCTCTCCGAAAATACCAAATCAAATGATTTAGGAAAGTTTTTTTTTTGTTTTTGTTTACAATTTTAAATCTATATACCCAGCTTAAAAAACTCATGCATAGATATGGATGAGTTTAAGAAAAATTTCATAACCCAGCTTATAAAATTCCATCTCCACGAGTCAAAAAAATCACATCCCTCTATCGTAACAACTTTAAAGGTAAATAAATAAAAGTTTAATTACTACTATAAATCCATTATCTATATAGATTTTTTAAAAATCTAAATTTCACATTTCTAATTACTAATATTTTAGATACGTTTAAATATTATTTGTATGATTTTTTTTTTTACACTTGCTCTCTCTCTCTCTATATATATACATATATGGAGGTTAAATGAATAATTTTTATACAAATTTTTCTTACGGGTAGTTTAGAAAAATTTAGGTAGCTTCAAACATTATTTGTGAATAATATAGAATATTTTAGATGCTTTTGTAGATGTTATAAAATATTTTAAGTATTTTTAATATTTATATATCACACTTAAAAAGAATATTTTGCCAAAAAAAAACATTAAATACACAGTGTAAATGTTAATAGAAACAGTCTTAAGTGTTCGTCTTTGATTTTGTCAAAACAAATCTCATAAAATCGGTGAAGTCTAAATTTGTACGTAAAGTCTATCTATACTAAAAAAAAAGGTAGATTCAAATTTCATTATCTAATTTCTTTTTTTTCTTATCTAATTCCTTCTTATTATCTAATTGTATATAAATCTGTTCTGATTTTGTTCAATCCTCTAATTGTATTTGTATTATATCCCATAAAATCGGTTTAACAAAAAAAATCCCATAAAATCCGATAAGTAAAAAAAAGTACGTAAAATCTTTAAAAATAAAAAAAGGTTTTATTTATTATCTAATTGTATGGAAATCTGTTCTGATTTTATAGTACGTACTACAAATTGTGCACCCGTGTTCAGGAGCTACTTAACGGGCAAGCTGTGGAAATAACTCATTTAGTGCTTCTGTCCAGTGCATACGGTTTGTATTTGTATTACACGAAATTGTGCATTCCGCGCATCTCACCGACTTTGTACTAATAAATGACCTTAAAATTGTGCATCCCGTGCATCACCCGTGTTCACATATTGGCCTATTACAAGTCACGTACTATATATATATCCCGTATATTTTTCTTTATTCATTTATATAATTATTAAGACTTTATAAATGACCTTAATTTTGTGCACCCCGTGCATCGCACGGGATCTGTATAAGTATTATTATTCGCACGTCAACTCTAATGTACTATTTATTGTCTTACATATTTATAACTAATTATCATTTTCAATAATGTATCTCCTCCTCCGGTATTACATCATCTTTAACCATTATATCTTAAATAATATTTAAATACAAGCTCAAATATCACTTAATCTTTTACTCAATTAGTTTTATTTAGAACTAACTCACTTTATACAAGCTCAAATACGACTCTTGGGGCCTACAAAGGTTGTGTTGTGTGTGCAAACACGTCAACTAGTTCATTTATAATTTTTTTCTTCTAACAAATCAAGATTGTAATAATAATAATAATAATAATAATAATAATAATAATAATAATAAAGGTTTCTATATGCATATTAACTAATAGCATAATCTATTAAATATTTTAATTACATATTTAACGGTTTGTAAATGAGTATTAGGTAAATAACAATTTGAATAATTATTGAAAAATATTATGATGTCGTGTTATTTTTATGAAACTTCTATATATATAGAAGAGGTCATACAATTGAGCTTCAATATTAGAGATTTTGGTTGAGAAGTACTTCAATTTTTTTTTTAATTTTTTATTTTTCTTTTTTTTTACCAAATTAACTAATTATCGAATTTAATGGATAAAACATAAAAGTTCTAATAAAGTTTCGGTAATTTAACATTGGTTTGCTAACATGAAAACGACTAAGAATAAATTATTCATCATGTACCCTTGGATATAAACCAAGTGGTACACCAAGGAGTACATGTAGCATAATCCTAAGAAGAATTATAAGAATCCAAAAAAATCGATCCATTTAAATTTTGAAAAGTTGCAAATTTTGTTTTTTTTTTTTCTAAATAATTAGATAAGGTGACTTTAAATATCAATGATGAATCGCTTGTTGTTACAAAAAAATGTGGACACAATTCTTAATGTACATCCCGTCCAAATATCAGTTTTATTTTAAAATAAAAATTACAACGTGGCTTTATCCAATTTACACAATTTTTTTGAAAGAAAAAATTCTCCCAATATATAATTCTAGAATGCGCTGAGCCTACGTGGCTGCTTCTGGCACTACAAGAAAACACTTCAATTCCAACGAAAAATTCCAAAAGAAAAATTTCCGTTGGAAATTCTAATGAATATTCCAACAAAATTAATTTTATGTTGGAAAAAGTGTTGGATGGTTGAGGAATTCCAACGGATTTTTTCCGTTGGAATAGCTGTGGGAATTTATTTCCATAGGATTTTCCGTTGGATTTTAGCTATTCCAACGGCCTTTTTTCCTACGAATTTTTATACGTAGGAATATCCGTTGGAATAGGTTCCAACGGATATATAAAGAATTCCAACAAAAAATTTTCGTTGGAATGTAAGAGGTTTTTTTGTAGTGTGGTGCTTCAGAATCCTATTTGGCGAAGAATCATGCTTCGTAATTAGATTTGGATAAATAATATTGATATAATAATAATAATAATCTAGGTTCGGGTATTCCATAAATATTATTTAGGTAATTTATGTATTTTAATATCACTTTTACTAATATAACTCTTTTAATTCTTTGTAATTTTACATAGTGAGGCACTAAGTGACTAATATATCCCTGAATTTTGATTTGTTTCCTTCAATAAACTATTGAATTAAAAATGTATTTTAAATGTTGATAACTTTTGAATCACTTATCGGTTTTACATATATAATATATCAAATTAATCATCTTTTGATGATCTTCGATTTGACATCCATATTGTATATATATGAAATAAATAAATTATATTTATCTTTATAATAATAAAAAATAATAATATTTATTGAAATTCATTAGAAAAATAAAATTATTTTTCAATTGATATATTTATATGTAATGTAGTTATATATTGAAAGTTAAAAAAAAAAATAGTATAATATAACACAAGTAAGTTGCACAAATAAAAAGTGTCATAATAAATATATAATAATATATATATTCTTATAAAAGGTATTTAAATTTTCAAACTACTTTTTCTCATTAATTTTAGATTTTAAGAAAAAAAAATTAGTAAGCACCCGTGTAATACACGGGTGTTGTACTAGTTATTCAATAAGATTGAAAGAATTTGTTAAGAATTATACAACTATTTTCTTCCTAAATTTGTATCTGTTGCACGGTTTTAAAATTAATTTGTATTTAGAATTGTTTTCATAAATAATTGACAAATTTTTTTGCATAAGAATCTCCAAATTTGTTACAAAAAAAATATGATTAAAATTTTGGAAGAAAAATAAAATTGATACGAAAAAATGAGATTCAAATTTTGCCATAAGAATCTTTAAATTTATTACCAAAAAAATAGGATTTAGATTTTTTTACTAAAGATTTATATTCATTTTTTTTAACTTTCCATTAATACTAAAAACATTATATTTATTTAGTCAAATTTTCTATTAATATATTTTTCCAACAACATCTTTATATAGTTATAGATAAATATAGATATAGATTTAGATTTAAAAAAAAAAGTCGGACCCGTGTGCCAGTTGATAAAACACAAAAGGCAGCCAGCCAGCTAAGCATACCGGGGCAAGTACTTTATTTTCGCCTAACTTTAAATATATTGTATATATATATAGTGAAATATTATAGTGTTACGGAACCATTCAATCGGAGTTTATAACCATTTATATCATCATGAAACGGTCGGGAATAATTGATCTAACAGTTACAAATTGCGACGAAATAATTCCATAACGAGACTGTAGCAGCTTCCTATATATATTACAATATTATTATTATTTTCAGTATTTTAATTTCGTCAAATCTCTCTCACACACTGACACAATGACCCCACAATCACGCCAAAGGACAAAAGAATAATTATTAAAAAAATTATGAACCCATTTCTCTCTCCGCTTCCTCTCTCTATATAACCCTTCCTTCCCCTTTCTCTCTCCTCATCTCTCAACTCATATTCTCTCTCTCAGTAACAAACTTTTTCTCTCTCTGTAACTAACCGCCACACACAAGTCACAACACACCTCTTCAAATTTCCGATGGCCGACACCACCGAGCTCAAACGCCTCCGATCGGAGGATCCGGAGACCTCCGGCTCCGACGACTCGAGCCAGAACTCCAAGCGCCAGAAGCCCTACGGCGGCATCCTCTCCCTCCTCGACCAAGACGAGGACGACTGCGAGGCGGCGCACGGCCAGGACCTCGCCGCCGTGTTCTCCGCTTTGCAGCAGGAGATCTCCGACGCCGCCGCCGCCGTCGACGTCGATTCGCCTGCGCTCGCGGCGGCGGAGGACCGGAGCGCCGCCGACGGCGAGGAAGGCGAAGCGGAGTCGGTCATGAGGCGGCTCCTGGAAGCCTCCGACGACGAGCTCGGGATTCCGAGCGCCGAGGAGATGTACGGAAACATTAATAACGGTAACGGTGATGAGATTGTCGACGGGATTAGGCCCGGCGAGGATTTGCCGTTTGGTTTTGTGGATAATTTGTGGGAGCTTGAGGACGTGGCTGCTAATTACTACACCATGCTTCAATCGGAGCTTTTTATTTAGTGTTTACTCTTTTTTTTTTTAATTGGGGTGGAAATGAATAGGT